ACATTGGATCAGGGACGTGACCTGGGTAAAAGTGGTGTTACAATCCCACCCTAATCCTCTTTAACATAAAATTACAATCACAAAATGGAGGCCAACCACACAATTCTGGGAATCATGGCCCAGCCCAATTGATACATACATTTTTTTGGGGACATAATTCAAACCCTGACAGAGTCTAAGATATGTGAGTCCTGAAAGATTGTGGGGAGATATAACAGATTTGGAAGAATGAAAGATGATATAGGCGTAAGACTTAATTATCAAGCTATAGATTTCCTGGAAGGAGTCCTGGGGGCACAAACGGTCAAGAGCTCAACTACCAACCGAAAGATTAGTGGTTCAAACCCACCCAATGACTCCGCGGGAAAAAGACCTGGCAATCTGCTTCCATAAAGATTAAAGCCTAGAAAACCCTATTGTGTAGTTCTACTCTGCCACGTGAAGTTAGTACAAACTGAAATCAACTTGATGGCACCTAACAACAACAACAGAGTTCCTGAGCTGGAAAGAGGAAGAGAAAGAGTAGGCTTAAATGAGTATGTAGCATTGATGGAGTCCCTGAGAACAGAAGCTTGTATTCCCATCCTCCTCCCACACCAACTCTAGGAGAGCACCACAGAAACCCAAGCAGGTTTTAGAGGCAGCTGAGAACAGAGGATAGCTGAGACTGTACCCTGGAGAAAACTTCAGCAGAAGCCCTAGTCCCAATCCTTTGCAGTTTCTTAATGTATCTGGGCAGACAGGTGTAAGCCTGGACTTTCAAATATAGTTGCGCAGATTGTGCACTGCACAAGTCTGAGGAGGCCGTTCACATTTCCCCATGCAGAATTTTCACATCATATCTGTTGACCTTGTCTGGGACAGCCTCACAGTGCTCCCTTGAACCTCAGTGAGGTGAACAAAAAGCAGATTTTTCCTTTTGGTCCAAAATGAGGTATGTAGCTGTACAGCAGGGGCCAGCACACTACAGCCCATGGGCCCAGTCTAGCCCCACTGCCAGTTTATGTAAATAAAGTTTTATTAGAACACAATCACTCTCATTTGTTTACATGTTGTCTATGGCTGCTTTCTTGTTACAATGGCAGAGTTGAGTAGTTGCGACAGAGACCATGTGACCTGCAGAACTGAAAATATTTATGTATTTATTCATTATTTTTACTTTCTTGTTGAAAATTTTAAAAATTACAAAAAATTTTATTGTACTTTAGATGAAGGTTTACAGAGCAAACTAACTTCTCATTAGGCAATTAATATACATATTGTTTTATGACATTGGTTGCCAACCCCAGGACATGTCAACACTCTCCCCTTCTGGACCTTGGGTTCCCCATTACCAGCTTTCCTGTCCCCTCCTGCCTTCTCATCCTTGCCCCTGGGCTGGTGTGCCCTTTAGTCTCATTTTATTTTATGGGCCTGTCTAATCTTTGGCTGAAGGGTGAACCTCAGGAGTGACTTCATTACTGAGTAGAAAGTGTGTCTGGGGGCCATACTCTCAGGATTTCTCCAGTCTCTGTCAGACAAGTAAGTTTGGTCTTTTTTTCTTTTGAGTTAGAGTTTTGTTCTACGTTTTTCTCCAGCTTTGTCCGGGACCCTCTATTGTGATCTCTGTCAGAGCAGTCGGTGGTGGTAGCTGGGCACCTTGTAGTTGTGCTGCACTCAAGTCTGGTGGAGGCTGTGGTAGTTGTGGCCCACTGGTCCTTTGGACTAATCTTTCCCTTGTGTCTTTGATATTCTTCATTCTCCCTTGCTTCAGACTGGATGAGACCTGCGGAGTATCTTAGATGGCCACTCACAAGCTTTTAAAACCCCCGATGAGAGCTGAAAATATTTAATCTCTGGCCTTTTACAGAAGAAGTTTGCCGGCCCCTGCCATACTCTGATAGCCATCCCAGACCTGCATCTGAGGACTAGATGGGAAACTGGAGTCCTCAGGAGATAGCAGAATGCCCAGATGACAATACTGATAGCCCACTGCTCCCCCACCAGCCACACCCCCCGAGGTAATCAGCACTAGCAGAGCTCCTGCAACCTTGATACAAGCCCAGGAATGTGAGTGAAAGATTCAGAAATGTCACCAGCACAAGAGGGCTCCAAATGCAAAATAAGTTCAATTGTTTTTCAAAAAAATAGAGTCATACTTCTCGCCTGTCTGTGTTTGTGAACCGAGATATCATAGCCAGCACACAGGGTCAGGTGTGTAGATCCTGGGCTAATTGTTCATGCCTCCATTCAGCCACTCACCTCTGTACTTGCCAGGTGAAGCTCTGGACACACCTGCCAGCTAGGCAGTGATCACTTCAGAAGTCTGCATTCCCATAGTGCCTTTGTGAAGGGGGAGATGGTGGTTGCTATGCTCGCACCCTGCGGGCCTGCCTTCCTGGTCACAGCTAGCAGTCCAGTAGGCATTCAGCCCAAGGGGGCCTAGTAGGTGAGGGGTCACATCCTGTTCGGTGGCGATCTGTATTGGAGGGTGACTCAGGCAACCATTCAGACCTTCTCTCTCAGGAAGTTTGAACTGAAAATGTGTAGAGAAAGCCAGTGCACGGGAGAGGGGACAGAGAAGAGCGCGAGATAACAACGAGCAGAAACCTTGAGTAAACAGACCCACGGAGTCTGGGTGAGACCCTGGAATCCAGGCTGAGAGGACCTAAGTGCCCATAAAGGCAGATACCCAGCTTGGGGGATGGTGGATGCCACTGCAGGGGGTTGACAAAATGACCCAGTTGTTGTAGCTCCCTTGGGCCCGTTGCCCAGACAACATTCAGGTCTCCACAATGTCTGGCTGATTTCTGCTTTCTTTACACCTCCTTGAATTCTTACAAATGCCCCATCACTGAAGAAATCCTGGATCTGGGCTCCCAGTGGTTTTACACTCTCAAACTAGCCTACACTTGGCCTTCAGCATGTCATTGTAAATTGTGGATTTCTTCTTTTCACTCACTCTATGGTGACCCCACCTTCCTCCTGGGTTCTGCCACAGGCAAGCTAGTGTTCACATCTAATCTCTCCTCCAATGTGCCTGTCATTTGTCTTTCAGTCTATTTGTCTTGCAACCTCAGCTTCTTGGTGGATTCAGGAAAAGTTATGATTTCGAGGAAAATCCTGCATTTTCCTGCTGTTAGGGTAAGAGTGACACTCCTTAGAGCTTTCTGAATTTGAACAGAAGGCAGAAGTCAGCCCAGTGATTCTGAAAGTGGCGGTTTTAGAAAGACATTTGAGGGACTTACTCTAAGGTGGTGACTGCCCAAGAAGTAGTCCAGGCTACAGAGTCTCCAGACCAGCTGCTAGAGGAGGTAGCTTCGGGGAGGGGCTGGGAAGCTGCTGTGCATATTGAAGGTGTCACAGACCCATGGAATGGTCAGTAAGGTCATGCAGCAGTGCCACAGGGTCACCATGGCACTTCTCCCTCCCACCCTACTCCAGGGACATTCTCAGCCTGTGTCACCTCCACCTCCATGGCTAGCTCCACACTGAGCAGAGGGATGCTCCACTCTGGCCATGCCAAATCCAGCTGTTGGAAGTTGTTGAGGGTCCAGAGAGAAGGTGCAGATGCAGGGACCCATCAGCAGCTCCCAGAGCCCAGCCTACTGGCCTCTGCTTGCCCAGACGCCCAGCCGTCCCCAGCAGAGCACCTTCCTGCTGATGGTGCCATCTCTCTAAGGAGAAAAACAAAAGCAAACCTACTGCCTTTGAGTTCGACTCATGGTGGCCTCATGTGTTACAGAGTAGAACTGAGCTCCTTAGGGTTTTCTTAAGTGTAATCTTAACAGTCACCAAGCCTTTCTTCTTTCTTCCACAGCACTGATAGGTGAGTTTGAACTGCCAACCTTTCAGTTAGTAGTCAAGCACAAAGCACTTGGTTCATCCAGAGACCTCAGTCTCTCTAAGGAGGAAGGTTTAATCTCCAGACCAAGACACAGATGCTGGCTTGATCTCCAGAACAACATTTATTCTCAAAATTGTGGTGACAAGTACAAAATTCCTCCTCCCACCAGACAAATCTTCAGCCTCCAAAATACGAAGCCTCTTTGCGCTATAAAAGCCTTCTGTAGAATACCCCTGTGTGGACTCCTCCAGGCCCCAGAGACAGTCGGCCTTCTGTTCATATCTCAATGTGCTGTATCTGTGGTGACTTCTCTGATGCCTTGTTGGACAAGACCTCAGTCCAGAAAGCTACCTCTTTGTCTTTCAGCTCCTGGGCTGCCTTAGTGGTGACGCCAATCTGCAGGTACCCCTCCTTCTGGTCATATGCTGGCCAATGGGGTAGCCCCTCTCCATTGGGGTTCCTGGGAAGAGAATCAAAAGAAATTACCAAAGCTATGGTGTGGTCCAAAGCAACGCTTTGAGATGTGCAGGGATCACCTGGCTTCATCTCTGCCAAGCGTCTCATCCACTTCCAAGAGAGGGAGCTCACCATCTCTAGGGGAAGCTTGTCCAGTTTCAGAGAGCTCTCATTTTTAGAGTACTATGGTCATAGAGTCAAGAGCTTTACCACTTAAACTTTAGAAGCCACCCCTTCCTGATAGGTATGCCCTGCTCCCCTGTCCTCAACCCTGCTCTTCTCTGCCACCAGTCTCACCATTCTGAGCAAAGTTGGCCCACAATTTCATCACCATCTTGCTGAGTTTGACCTCATCTTCTGTGGCACCCTCTGTGGGGAACAGAAAAAAATAGCCTTTGAGACTCAAAGTATGGTTCCTGGACCACTAGCATTAGAATTACTTGGGGGCTTATTAGAAATGCAGAATCTTGGCCCTTATCCCAGACCTACTGATTCAAAATCTGCATTTTAACAAGATCCTGGGTAATCTGTGTGCACTTTAGTTTTGAGAATTACTGATCTAAGACTCAGAAATGGACTTTCAGTCAATCTGTGAGCTGGCTGTGTTTGTATTTTTTTTGTGCCCACACGATCCTCCTTCCCCTTCAGAATCACAATGTAATATCCCACAGCTTCCTTCACAGTAGCTCCAACTCCCAAGACTGCTCTCCCTTGGGTATTTTCTCAATCTCCTTCACCCACCCACAGTTTGATAGTCTGAAAAAAAACAGCGCTGAAATGGTCCTACGGAGTTATACAATCAGGAGATGCCCAGAGGCATCGGTGCGTCATGACAACCGTGAGGTGGGTCACAAGACATCTATAATACCTAGTAGTTAGGAATTGGAGACATTGGTGAAGGATTTTCTTTAAAATATTATATTATTAAATAGATCAAATTTTAAAAGATGTGAGTTTTAAATATATGTTAAGATAGATATATAGGTAGATAGACGGTAGATGGGTATAGGTAGATGGATAGATAGATGGATAGATAGACAGATAGATAGATAGATAGATATGATAGATGGTAGATAGATAGACACTAGTAATAGATAAATAGACAAGTAAACAAACACACACATATAAGAAATGATTCAAAGTTAACACCAAGTCTATCCTTATTCACATTTGCATTCTGTTAGGCTCTTACTAGTGGGAGAAGAAGGAGTGACATTTAGCCCTTGAGCAGGGCCCTGCAGGTGACCTACTACCTGTCTTACTGGTGCTACAGGTCCAGATTCTAACAGTGACCATGTTGAGTGACCATGCACATTCTTCATTGTGCATGTTAGAGCAGGAGAAAGGCTGGGAACTGCCCAATGTAGTTCAACCCTATTATGGTGAATTCTGGAAACTAAGGCCAGGAAATTGCTGGCTCGAGGCCAGCAAACTGAGACTTGAGCCCAGGTCTCCTAACTCCAAGCTCATAACCAGCAAAGAGCCAACACCTTTTAAAAACGGGGCCCCGAAGACTGAAAAGAGCTCATCCCCATGATCTCCTATCACTATCTTGGGTTTCATCTCTGATGAGAAGCTTGAGCGATGCTGAAGCTTGTACATATAGGAGAGGGCTCTGGTATCTGAGAAAACATGGATTCATGCTCACTTCGTTTTAGCAGATGCATACGTGGATGGTACCAAGGTTTCCAGGCAGCTCTGAGCGCTCAGGGAGTTGGTCACACACCTGGGTACTGAATACATAACACCAACAATATTAATAGCAGCTGCCCTTTTTGAGTGTCAGCTGGGTGTTGGGCATTGTGTAGCCCTACAGGAACCCTCTGGTTATCAGCACAATTGAGAAATGGAGTTTCAGGAAAGCTCATTGACTCACTTATGACTGCATAGTTGAGGTGGGGCAGGGATTTGGGCCTAGTATTTGTTGAATGAATGAGTGAATGAATGTTGAAAGTCCTACATCAGTCCATTCAAAATGACTATCATTATAGGGCACTAGGTCAATTCACATAGACTCCTTTGCCTACTGATACATTCACACACACAAAAATGTGTATACATCCAGGGTACACTATTGTATTTCATTGATAAAAGATTCGTTTTCATTCTTTTGGAGAGTATCTGTAGCCCAATGGGGTTCTTCTATTTTCCCTAGTTTTGGGCATTTCCACTGTTTTTCTCACCCATTCTGAGAAGAGTGAAGCAAATTCACGTTGCTTGTCTGAAAGCGAGGATACCGAAATATAAGCATATGCAGAATGGGAACAATCTGTCTCTTGTGTCTCAGGAAATCACAAGCTCAACGTTTCATATTTCTGTCCCCTCCTTTATCTTGCTTGGCCCAAGGAGTGTTACGGCGGTGGCGGGAAAGAGAAGGGACCATGGAAGAGCAAACTTGCCTCTATCCTGTTCTCCTAGCCATCCTTTGTCACCACTAAAGCACTCCTGTCCAAGTCCCCAAAAAGGTGTCAGTTTTCCTGCTGACTGGTTTGTGAGAGCCGCCAATCCCCAAGGGCTAACTCATGGGCCACTCATCTAGAGGAGCTCAGTGTTTCACATTGGTCATAATGCCCATGGAGGAGGGATTCTAACAGGGAGAGGTTCAGGCCCCAAGTCAAGCTATCGTTATAGAGCACTAGGTCAATTCACAGACCCCTGGTGGTGAAGTGGTTAAGATCTCGGTTGCCAATCAAAACGTCAGCAATTCAAATCCAGCAGCTGCTCCTTGGAAACCCTATGGGGGCAGTACTACTCTGTCCTATAGGGTTGCTATGAGTTGGAAACGATTCGATGGCAACGGGTTAGGTCAATTCACATAAGCCTCTTTTCCTACTAATGAATTCACACACACAAAAATCTATATACATCCACAGTGGCATCACAGGAGGTGCCCCACAATGTCAGAGGAGGTGACACTGTCAGAAGAGGTGACACCAAAATGACTACCTATAAAATTTTTGTGCAGTGTTTCAGCAGAAACTTATTTTTTTTTTGCTAAAAATACCCCTGCAGTTAGTTATAACAACAAAAATATTTTTCATAAGCCCAGCTTATATGTATCAATATACCTACAAGGCTAAAACTCTCTGCTAACTTATTTTTTGAACCTTCTAATGCCCTCTGGTCAGAGCACGTACTACAAGCACATGCTGTTGTCTTTGTTGCTCCCAGTGTTTTTAACGTTGCTGATTTTGTCAAATTTTCTGATTTTTTAGCTACAATATTGTGATAATTAATATTTGTGAATCTATATCAATAACTTTTTTGAAAATGAAGTAGTAATTAAAAGAAAATAAGGATAAAATAAAAAAGGCTCCTGTTCGGTTATTAATAATGTAGAAATATAGAAAGATTTTACAAAACAATTTTGTTGTTAGTATTCATATAATCTAAGAAATATTCAATTTAAGCAATTCACAACTATATTTATCACATATTATTCTATGATTAAAATTGATAGTAAATATTACTAAGCATTCTGAGGATGTCCATGCGGGGTGACACAATGAGTTACCACACTGGGTGACACCAAATCTAGTGACACCATTGTACATCCAGTGTACACTATTGTATTTCATTGATAACAGGCTAGTTTTCATTCATTTGGAGAATATCAACTGCCTGACAGGTGTCTTCTATTTTTCCTAGTTTTGAGCATTTCCATTGGTGGAGAAATTTTACAACCTTTTCCCCCTACGTATAGTAAAAAATTTGCAAAATGCAGAAAAATGAACAAAAACATCACTTATAATCCCACCACTAGGAGAAAGCCTCTGTTCATATTTTACCACATATACCTTTAACATATATAAAATTAAGATAATGTTGTATATGTTGTTCTGTAACATACTATACTCATTTCTTCACATTGTTATTCATCCACAAAATGATCTAACAATATATGTCATCTCAACATGAGGATTTGTCCCTGGGTGGTACAAACGGTTAATGCACTCAGCTGTTAAATGAAAAGTTGGAGAGTCAAGTCCACCCAGAGGCACCACAGAAGAAAGGCCTGGTAATCTACTTCTGAAAAATCAGCCACTGAAAACCCTATGGAACACAGTTTTACTCTGACACACATGGGATCGCCATGAGTCGGAGTCAACTTGACAACCACTAGGATCAGAAAACATGAAGATTCAGCATAATTTATTTAATCGTTCTCCTCACTTCCTCATTGCACCCTTGGATTAGAAAAAAAAAAGTGTGTTTGGAATAGTCAGTCCTCCTGTGGCTCTGTAATCCACTTATTAAACAGGTGCTTCAAGGTCAAACAGAACTTGCTGAAAGGAGGTGGTTTAACCTTGCCTCTGCCACTCAAAATTGTAGGAAGGAAACAGAACCCAACCATAGAGGAAAGGCCTTTTGTGGATGAGGGAACTTATTTTAGGCAGTATCTTGTCCAAAAGAAATTCTTTCTTTTTAAACTTTCTGCCTAAGACCACTGAGATTTATAAAACTCCTACAATCACTGCACAGGTCTTCAAAGGAAAGGAGGACACAGATTTGGGTGATAGCAATTAGGAACAAGAGATGCAGAGACAAGGAGAGCTGATAATCAAATATTTGCAAATGAAAATACAGTGTGATGTTTTTTGTTTGTTTCTTGGTAGGGTAGGGCTTATGAAATTGGCAGCATTTTTAAATTTTTTAATGTTAGTATCCCAAGTGGGAAAGAGAGTTAAGAAATCCACGTTCTTCACCCTGAGGGACTAAATTACTGGGCTGAGGGCTGTGGGAACCATGGTCTCAAGGAACATCTAGCTCAATTGGCATAACATAGTTTATAAAGAAAATGTCCTACATTCTACTTCGGTGAGTAGCATCTGGGGTCTTAAAAGTTTGTGAACAGCCATCTAAAATACTCCACTGTTCTCACCCCATCTGGAGCAAGAAAGAATGAAGAAAACAAAAGACACAAGGAAAAGATTAGTCCAAAGGACTAATGGACCACCATTACCACAGCCTCCACCAGACTGAGTCCAGCACAACTAGATGGTGCCTGGCTACCACCCCCAACTGCTCTGACAGGGATCACAATAGAGGGTTCTGGACAGAGCTGGAGAAAAATGTAGAACGAAATTCTAACTCACAGAAAAAGACCAGACTCACTGGCCTGACAGAGACTGGAGAAACTCTGAGAGTATGGCCCCCGGACACCCTTTTAGCTCAGTAATGAAGTCACTCCTGAGGTTCACCCTTCAGCCAAAGATTAGACAGGCCCATAAAACAAAATGAGACTAAAGGGGCACACCAGCCCAGGGGCAAGGACTAGCAGGCAGGAGGGGACAGGAAAGCTGGCAATAGGGAACCGAAGGTTGAAAAGGGGAGAGTGTTGACATGTTGTGGGGTTGGTAACCAATATTACAAAACAATACGTGTACTAATTGTTTAATGAAAAGCTAGTTTGTTCTGTAAACCTTCATCTAAAGTACTATTAAAAAAAAAGAAAGAAATCCACACTCATATATACTAGATAGCAATTTTGCAGTATGTACCAAGAGCTTTAAGGTACTCTTACAGTTCAGCCTAGTAATTTCGCTTCTAAAAAACTAATCCTCAGAAAATTATTACAGATACGGTCAAAAATTTATGCACATGAGCTGAGTATAATGTTATTTGTAGCATCAAAATATGTGTAGCCTGCCTAAGTATCCAGTAAGACAGGAATATTAAAGTGAGTTGTTACGCATTCATTCCATGCAATGAATGAATATGCAGTCAATGAAACATATGTTTTTTTGATGGATTTTCAATGACATTGAGAAAACACTCATAATATATTATGACATAAACAAAAACCATAACATTGATCTTTTAATTATATGTAAGAGATGAAAGAAATTATTTAAAAAAATACAAAAAAAATTTACAGCAAATACTCAGGGCAGAAGAACTGAGTGATATCTAGTTTCTTCTATATGTGTTCCTGTATTTTCCAAACTTTAAAAACTGTAACATTAATTTTATATTCAGGAAAGTTCTTTTTATTAAAGGAAGGAGATAGAAGGATAATAAGATAAATATCAGAATGAAATAATAAAAAGCCCCTAAACTCAATGTCATGTAATATCCTGGGATGGATACGACCAGCAGAAGAGGACACCACAGATTAGACATGTAGCAGGTGGCAAAACCAAATTTATGAAAAAAATAGATTTGACTCCAGGTGGCCCCCAGCTAAAAGGTTTCATCAGTACCCCTGTGAAGAAGAGTAGGTAATTAGCACCTGTATATTATGGCTGTGAAGTGTGCTTGGGCACATAGTAGTTCAACTTTAGGTAGTCTGCTTCATGCTGTAGGTAGTTTTAATGATGCTTATAAAGTCCTGAAATTAAAAACCCTTCCAGCAGGGTTAGAGACAGGGAGAGGTCTGGACCAGGGAACCATTATTGGCTTGCAAATGAAGTCAATGAGTTAATGGGGCTTGTAGAAAAGTCCAGTAAGGACCTCAAAATGACATCCAGAAGGAGACATCTACTATCTAGGTGAGCTCCTCCATCCTTAACCTCACATCCCACCTACTCAGCCTTGGGGAAGGTGAGGTTGGAAGGTCCCATGGAAGACCTTACGATGGTCCTCAGCTTGTCAGAGGCACACAGTGGGATGGACAAAAGCCTGCTACTGATATTAACATCCTCCAGACTACCTCCTCCCACTCCTCCCACTGCTCATTCCTTTTGGTTTTCTTGGTCCCTGACAACATTCCTGACCCTATGCTTGGCTCTCACTCTTCCTCCAGCTCCATCAGTTAACAAAGTAGTTTGCAGCTAGCTCTGACTAAGATACATCTTCCAATATTTGCCCTCCAGCTCCCATACCACAATGACTTCTGGTAAGGAACACCCATATAACCTATTTCTGGACATGTCAGCCTGACTTCTACCTCCAGTATCCATAGCTATTTGCCTGAGGGCTTTGTCTGGCCACTGGAGACTACTCTGTCCATGCGTGCAACAGGTCAAAGTGCCAGGAAATTCACAACCCATTGGGAACAGCCTTTAACCAATGACTAGTGGGAGTTGGTGGTAAGTACTCAAGCTCCCTTGCTGCTCAGATGGGATGACCCTGAGACTTGTCGTCTCCCTGTTTCCAGAGTTCCCAGCTCCAGTTGTCCACGGTAGACACCTGCTGAACAATGCATCATTGATTGGCTTCCTTTCTTCTCCTGTGTCACCTCTTCACATTCCTAGCAGTGTTTTCTGGGATCCCCTCCCAAATAAACTACTTGCACTCAGATCATTTTCTCAGAGTTGGCTTCTGGCAGAAACCAAAACAGGAAAACGCCCCACTCCAGGTCAAATGGAATCAGCCTTTGAGGCTGGACTGTTTGGCATTTTCTTTCTTTTTTTTTAAATCTTTTTAATGTACTTTAGATGAAGGTTTACAGAACAAATAGTTTCTCATTAAACAATTAGTACACATATTCTTTTATGACACTGGTTAACAATGCCACGACATGTCAACACTGTCCTTTCTCAACCTTGTGTTCCCTATTACCAGCTTTCCTGTCCCCTCCTGCCTTCTAGTCCTTGTCCTGGGCTGTTGTGCTCCATTAGTCTCATTTTCTTTTATGGACCTGTCTAATCTCTATCTGAAGGGTGAACCTCGGGAGTGACCTCATTACTGAGCTAAAAAGGTGTCCGGGGGCCATACTCTCAGAGTTTCTCCAGTCTCTGTCAGGCCAGTAAGTCTGGTCTTGTTTTGTGAGTCAGAATTTTGTTCTACATTTTTCTCCAGCTCTGTCCAGGATCTCTATTGTGATCCCTGTCAGAGCAGCCAGTGGTGGTAGCCGGGCACCATCTTGTTGTACTGGACTTAGTCTGGTGGAGGCCGTGGTAGTTGTGGTCCATTAGTCCTTTGGACTAATCTTTCCCTTGTATCTTGTTTTCTTCATTCTCCCTTGATCCCAAAGAGATGAGACCAGTAGAGTATCTTAGACAGCTGCTCACAGGCTTTTAAGACCCCAGACGCTACTCACCAATGTAGAATGTAGAACATTTTCTTTATAAACTATGTTATGCCAATTGAGCTAGATGTTCCCCGAGACCACGGTCCCCACAGCCCTCAGGCCAGTAATTCGGTCCCTTAGGGAGTTTGGATGTGTCTCTGGAGCTTCCATGACCTTGCCTTGTACAAGTTGTGCTGGCTTCCCCAGTATTGTGTACTGTCTTACCCTTCAACAAAGTTACCACTTATCTACTGTCTATTCAGTGTTTCCCACCTCCCACTCTTCCCCTCCCTCATAACCATCAAAGAATGTCTCTTTTTGTGTGTAAAGCTTTTCATGAGTTTTCACAGTAGTGGTCTCGTACAATATTTTGGACTCTTGGCATTTTCAACATATCTGTCTATGCTGGGGGTCGGGGGCTGGGAAGGACAGAAAAAGAATCTGGAAGGGCTCAGTGTCCTCTCTCCAGTCCAGCCTCTGGGACTCACCCCTATGACGATGTGCCACAGTCACCAATGGTACACCAAATACTACATCTCCAAGCATGTCCAGGAACAGGTCTTTCTTTTTGACAGGGTCATCTGTCCCACCTAAGTACTTCTTGGTGATGACCAGACCCAGTTCTTCAGAGATAGTCTGAATGGATCAAGAGTGAAGTGACCACCAGCCTCCCGCTGCCCCCAGGTGAGCCAATGTGGCTTCTCCACCCAGTGAAGAAAGCTTGCGTTAATAGTGGACCAAGAGAGTTCTATGCAGCTCTCCCCAAGGGTGGCCAGCTGGGGAAAGGCAGGAAAATGGGGGCAGAATCCTCAGGTTCTAGTCTTTGTTTGCCATTTAATTGCTGTATGGTTTTGGGCAAGTCCCTTCCCCTTTTTGGGTCTCAGCCAATTCTCATGATTCTCTGGAGTCTTACATGGGGGAATGACTTCCACAAGAGCGAAGCGGCTGTCTTCTGGTCCAGTTTACCTTCGGAGAGTGGGTAGCCCATAATCTGTTAAAAAAATGATTATGCAACTGTGAACTACTGAGAATTAACAGGAAGAACCAACCAACAAAAGCAACCCAGACTGAAGAGCCTCGTTCTTTGCCTTGCTTTGATAGGCATGAGCTTTGATGAATTGGACAAAATCAATGAATCAAATGGACTTATATTCAGAAACTCAAGGAGTGCAAAGAGGATAGAAAAATGTTTTGAAGAAGCTGCCCCAATCCTTTGCAGCCAACTGTGATATTTATCAGGCTAGAATCCTCACAATAGTCAGTGAGTCAGAGAGGGAAGGCCGAAGCCAGGTAGTGTTAAAGTAGAGGGCTGGGGGGCAGAAGACACAGATCTGCCTCAGATGGCCAAGGAAGCTCAGACTCCAACCTTTAGGGTCTTGGTCTTTTGGGATAACCTCTGAAATCCCTCTGTAGGGAAAGTCCTTCACTTTTAGAAGTCAATTTTTTTTTAAGAAGTCAATTTTAACTCACAAGAAAGCATGTTTTTCTGAATCTTTCCAATTAGATTACTAACAGCATGTGCAGAGACTTATGGAGAAAATATGAAAGCCCCAAGCCTGAGGTGGGAGATTCTGGGTCCCAAGCTTAGCTCTTCTTAAGTCCTGAGCTCCTCCCCTATTCTAGGCCTTGATTTTCCCACCTGCACCATTATTATCTCTACAGGCCCTCCCAGCATCAACATTTCAGTGTTCTTTGATTGGAAGGACACAGATAGTGTTTGGGGAGATGGGTTCCCATGGACAGCACCACCCATCTGGCAATTTCAGAGAAGGTTTCTATGCAAATGTCAACTCATGTAGAAGGGGCCTACTGCCCTCCTCAAAGAGGGGCTTGGAGAATGAAGAACTCCTCCCACTAGAGATGGGAGGAGTGGTGAGAGGATAGTCTAAGAGGCTTCCACATTCTCACTGTTGGAAGAAGCCAGCCAAACTCTTGCTTGTTGATTCCAACGATTAAGGGGACAGTGTTGAATTTCTTTTCAGCCATAATCTCTTCAGGTGTCTTCGGCAACAGCACCCATCAACCACAATGGGCAGGCAGGGATAGCTCTGGAAGAGAGCAGAGTAGTGAGGACCAAAGCTGGGCAGCATCAGCTGGGCAGGTGAGGGGGTGGCCTCAGCAGCAGTGAGGAGGATGATAATTGCCACTGTCCAGAGTGGGTGCATGTGGTTGCACTGTGTGGGCTACATGCATTGCCTTGCTCCAGTAAAAAAAACTCAGGGGCATCCTTTGCTCCTCTCTTTTTCTCACACCTACATCCAGTCTGTCAGCAAATCCTGTTGGCTATTCCTTCAAAAATATCCAGACTCCAAACCCTTCTCACCAACACCCACTACTACTGCCCTAGGTGAAGCCGCCATCTTGCCTTGCTGAGATTACATACTGCAATGGAATGACTTCCACTGGGCTCCCTAGTCTGCCCTTGCCCCTTCCCTACAGTTTATTTTCAACATAGCAGTCAAAGAGACCCTTTGTAAAATCTAAGGTTACGTTACTCCTCTGTTCAAAACCCTCCAAAGTCTTCCCATCTTGATTTGAATCAAAATCTAAATCTTTTTAATGGCCATGCCCCCACCTCTTTAGCCTCAAGCCTAGTCTCTCCCCTCACTTGATCCACTCCAGTTACTTTGGCCTCCTGCCTCAGGACCTTTGCAGAAGCTATTCCCTGTGCCTGAAACACTCTTCCTCCAGTTTTCCTGAGAACTGGCTTCCTCATCTCCTCCAGAATTGGGCTCAAATACCACCTTCTCAATGAGCCTTTCCCTGACTCTTCTACTTAAAATTCACACCACTGACACACCCACTGGCAGACTGTACCCTAATTTCCTGCTTAGCCAGGTAACATCTCTGCCTCCCCATAGAGGAAGATTCACGCCCATCCTCCACCTACAGGGGCATTTTGGGAGCAGCAAATGTAAACAAGAGAGGGTTAGACTGGGTCCATAGGGCACAGAACTGATGACTGGCAGCACTGGACTGGGAGTCTGGGAAATGGGCTCCAGTCCTGCCTTTGGCCCTCCTGGCTGTGTTACCCAGGCCAGCCACTGTCCCTCTCTGGGCCTTGGTAATATTAACACAGGAGTTATTGTGATTCCACAGAAAGGAGAATTCTTTCATCCACATTTAACTTGACCTTAAAGTGCAAGGCTTGAAACATATAATTAAGATACTGAAGGCCCTTACCTCTCTGGGGTCTCCAAGTAAATCAAGAGCAAAGAATTTCTGTGAAGACAAAGGCAGAGGCTGTGAATGAGAAGGCTTCCTGGAAGAGAAGGCTTCCTGGAAGAGAAGCTGATCTTTTGTTAGCTGAGCACTGGAAGCAACAGGCTGTCCCTCCAGGTGCCCCCCTGACTGGGCTGAGAGGAAGTGGGCAGGACCCTGGCTCCCCTAGTGTAGGACAGGCGGAGCGGAAAGCAGGGACAAGGAAGGACAAGGCCTGGGGACCCCAATCCAGAGTTGTTGGAGTTCTGAAGAGGACATCTGTTGTTTGTACCTGCCCTGCCCTCCATTTATTTCCCCTTCTCCTGGAGACAGCACTCCAATTTTCCTTTGAAGGGCTTTCCTCTTCCCCACTCTCACCTTACTGGTCCAGAAATGTATATGTGACCTGGGGTGATCAGTCTCCCTGACCTCAATGATTAGTTCAGGAATGGTACTTGCTCATGTCAGCTCAACAGTTTACCCCAAAACTTCTGCTGGAATTATTGGGAAAGGGACATCTCTTTCCACTAGGGTTTCTAAGCAGACAAAATGTAAGTCTAGAGTGCCTTTTTTGTCTTTAATTCCCTAGGGTACAAACCTACCTGAGAGTGAAGCCAACACTGAGGGTAGGAAGCTGAGAGATAGAGATGGATAAAAAAAACAAATGAAACCTGTTGCCATAGCCATCCATCAATCCTCAATGTCACCTTCTCGCTGAAGCATCCCTGCTGGTTAAAATGAATGCTGCTCTCCTCTGTAACTTCCACCACACTTAGCCCCCTAAGTATATAAATGTGTTTCTCCTTGGATAGTTCCTCGTGAGCAGGGAAACACTCTCACATTCATGTCTGCATCATTTCCTCTGGCACCCCCCATACGGTTAGCACAGATGGATAGATGAATGGATGGATGGAAAGAGGTGGTGAATACATGGATTATGGATGAATTAGATACTAGATAAATGGATGGTAACTGGCAGACATATGATGGATGAATCATTCGTTTCTGAAGTGAAGGTATATGGTGGCTGGATGATGAATTGATGCTGGATGGAATAACAATAGATGGATGAAAGGTCATTGATGGATTAGTGGATTGATATTAGATTGATAAAGGATATTGATGGATTGGTGGTTGAATAGATGGGTAAGATGATGAATGGATAGATAGATGTTGGATGGATGACTGTCCTAGAATCACAATTGAGGCAGGGTCTCAGAAATCTAGAAAATTGGGCTACTACTGAGTTCTAATTTAGGTAGTTTCTAAATTAACCAGATAAATTGTGATTGTATTTTTTATTAATATCCTCTTCCTCAAATTCAGGATGGTGGTTACCTCTAGGAAGGAAAGGGGAGAATGGAACTAGAGCAAGATACCCAGGAATTTTCAGTTAAATCTGTAATTCTTACTTTCTTAAAAATATATCTGAAAGCAAGAATGGAAAAATATTAAGCTTTGATAGAACTGGGGGGTTATCACAGAATTGTTCATTATGTTATTATTATTTTACTTTTCTGACATTTGAAATATTGCACAATTAATAAAGGAAAAAAGAAGTTTTTTATTGAGATCCAGAGGCTAACATTGTTCCTGAGAGAAAAGAAACTGTCCAGGTCATTTTTCAGGTAAAGCGGGATAGTTGAAATGATGAAGCCTGGGGCCAAGATTACAGTTTGGGACTTATGTGGCCACGAGAATGAATACACCTACCATCTTCAGCGACGTCTCCCAGAGTTCCTCTTCTGTCTTCTGGCGCAGGCAGTGAACCATGACAGCAGAGGTGGTGGGCAAGATTCTAAGACAAGCCCCTGAGGGACCCAGATTAATGCTTCATGAGCTTTTTTTTTTTTTAAATTGTACTTTAGATGAAGTTTTACGGAACAATCTAGCTTCTCATTAAACAATTAGTACACACTTTGTTTTCTGACATTGGTTACTAAACGCATGTCATGTCAACACTCTCCCTTCTAGACCTTGGGTTCCCTATTACCAGCTTTCCTGTCCCCTCCTGCCTTCTAGTCTTTGCCCCTGGGCTGGTGTACCCCTTTAGTCTCATTTTGTTTTATGGGCCTGTCTAATCTTTGGCTGAAGGGTGAACCTCAGGAGTGACTTCATTACTGAGTTAAAAGGGTGTCTGGGGGCCACACTCTCAGTGTTTCTCCAGTCTCTGTCAGGCCAGTGACTCTGGTTATTTTTTGTGACTTAAAATTTTGTTCTACATTTTTCTCCAGCTCTGTCTGGGATCCTGTATTGTGATCCTTGTCAGAGCAGTTGGTGGTGGTAGCCAGGCACCATCTAGTTGTGCTGGACTCAGTCTGGTGGAAGCTGTGGTAATGGTGGTCCATTAGTCCTTTGGACTAATCTTTCCCTTGTGTCTTTGGTTTTCTTCATTCTCCCTTGCTCCTGATAGAGTGAGACCAGTGGAGTATCTTAGATGGCCATTCACAAGATTTTAAGACTCCAGACACTACTTACCAAAATAGAATGTAGAACATTTTCTTTATAAACTATGTTATGCCAGTTCAGCTAGATGTTCCACGAGACCATGGTCCCCACAGCCCTAAGCCAAGTAATTAATTCAGTCCCTCAGGGAGTTTGGATGTGTCTATGGAGCTTCCGTGAACTTACCTTGGACCAGTTGTGCTGGCTTCCCCAGTATTGTGTACTGTCTTAGCCTTCATCAAAGTTAACACTTATCTATGTCTATTTAGTGTTTTTCCATCCCCACTCCTCCCCTCCCTTGTAATCATCAAAGATTGTTTCGTTTTGTGTGTAAACCTTTTCATAAGTTTTTATATTAGTGGTCTCAAACAATATTTGTCCTTTTGTGATTGACTTATCTCACTCAGCATAATGTCTTTCAGATTCATCCATGTTGCAAGATGCTTCTGAGATTCATCATTGGTCTTTATCCTTGCATAGTACTCCATTGTGTGTGTGTGTACCATAGTTTGTTTATCCATTTGTCTGTTGATGGACATCTAGGCTGTTTTCATCTTTTTGCTATTGTGAACAATGCTGCAATGAACATGAGTGTTCATATGTGTATTCATGTGATAGCTCTTACTTCTTTAGGATATATTCCTAGGAGTAGGATTGCTGGATCATATGGTATTTCTATATCTAGCTTTCTAAGGAAGCGCCAAATCGATTTCCAAAGTGGTCACCACTTGAAAGCAGACAGTGGCAGTACTACAGCCCCTTTCTGGGATCTCCCTGAAGGACAGTGGTGAAGGGAAATCCTGTCAATGGGCAGAACTTTGAGCAGTGCACCTGGTTGTTCACTTGGTTTAGAAGGAGAAATGGCCAGATGTGAGATTATATACTGATTCATGGGCTGTAGCCAATGCTTTGGCTGGATGCTCAGAGACTTGGAAGGAACATGATTGGAAAGTTGGAGATAAGGATTTATGGGTAAGAGGCATGTGGATAGACCTCTCTGAATGGGCTAAAGAAGTGAAGATGTTTGAGTCTCATATGAATACTCACCAAAGGGTGACCTCAGTAGAGGAGGATTTTAACAATTAAGTGGATAGGATGACACATTCTGTGGAAACCAGTCATCCTCTTTCCCCAGCTACTCTCATCATTGCTCCATGGGCTCATGAACAAAGTGGCCATGGTGGCTGGGATGGAGGTTATGCATGGGCCCAGCAACATGGACTTCCACTTACCAAGGCTGACTTGGCTACAGCCACTGCTGAGTGCCTGTCTTAGGCTGGGTTCTCTTGAGAAGCAAAACCACTAAAGCATATAAATATATATAGACAGAGATTTATATCAAGGAAACAGCTCACACGATTGTAGAGGCTAGAACATCCCAAGTCCGTGGATCAGGGTAGAGGCCTCTCCCAATTCATGCACCTGCAGAAGCTGGTGAGCCCAAGATCAGCAGGTCAGAGAGCAGGGCTCCCACTCACAGGCCGTGAAGGTCGGCGAATTCCAAGATCAGCAGGCAAGACTGCAAGGTTTTCCTGATTCATGAACTCAGGATTGCCAGGTCAGAGAACAGGGCTCTGTTCATAGCCTGTGAAGATCCACGAATCCCAAACTCAGCAGTAAGCTGCTAGCTCAAGTCCCAAGAACCGGAGGTGAGAAGACAGGAGACTGTTGCAGGATCCAGAGTGAGCAAAAAGCCAGAACGTCTGCTTATATTTGGATGCAGGCCACACCCCCAAGGAAACTTCCTTTCATCTGATTGGCTACTCATGGGAGTGATCACATATAAACACTGAGAATCAGGGTCCAGCCAAGTTGACACACAATCTTAACCATCACAGTGCCCAATCTGTCAGCAGCAGAGACCAACACTGAGTCCTCAATATGGCACCATCCCTCGAGGTGATCAGCCAGCAACCTGGTGGCAATTTGATTACATTGGACCACTTCTATCATGGAAAGGGCAAAGTTTTTTGTCCTTACTGGAATAGACATTTACTCTGGATATGGATTTGCCTTCCCTGCATGCAATGCTTCTGCCAGAACTACCATCTGTGGACTTACAGAATGCCTTATGCACCGTCATGGTATCCCACACAGCATTACCTCAGATCAAGGAATTCACTTCACAGCAAATCAAGTGTGTCAGTGGGCCCATGCTCATGGAATTCACTGCTCTTACCATGTTCTCCATCATCCTGAAGCAGCTGGCTTGATAGAACGATGGTATGGTCTTCTAAAGACACAGTAATGGTGTCAGCTAGGTGGCAGTACCTTACAAGATTGGGGCAATGTTCTCCAGGAGGCTGTATATGCTCTAGACCAGCGTCCGATATAGCCAGGATTCATTGGTTCAGGGATCAAGGGATGAAAATGGGAGTGGCACCACTCACTATGACCCCTAGTGACCCACTTGCAAGATTTTTGCTTCCTGTCTCTGCGACCTTATGCTCTGCAGGTCTAGAGGTCTTAGTTCCAAGGGAAGGAATGCTCCCACCTAGAGAAACATCATTGATTCCACTGAACTGGAAGCTAAGAATGCCACCTGGCCACTTTGGGCTCCTTATGCCTCTGGATCAACAGGCAAAGAAGGGAGTTACCATACTGGCTGGTGTGATTGATCCTGATTACTAAGAGGAAATTGGATTGATATTACAGAACGGAGGTAAAGAAGAGTATGTCTGGAGTGCAGGAGATCCCTCAGGGTGTCTTTTAGTACTACCATGCCCTGTGTATAAAGTCAATGGAAAACTACAGCAACCCAATTCCAGTATGACTACTAACAACCCAGAGCCTTCAGGAATGAAAGTTTGGGTCACCCCACCAGGCAAAGAACAATGCCCAGCTGAGGTGCTCGTTGAGGGCAACGGGAATATGGAATGGGTGGTGGAAGAAGGTAGTTCTAAATACCAGTTAGGACCACGTGACCAGTTGCAGAAATGGAGACTGTAATTGTTATGAGTATTTCTGTTTGTATATATCAAATATTATTGTTTCCTTTACTTATAAAATATAAGTTGTAAACAGGGCTAGTGCATTTTCAATTGTATGTGTGTTAGTTGTATCATGTTAGGTGCAAATATAACTTCATAATTGTCTTTATTCAGAGATTATGTATGGTTTAAGGAGATGTGTACATGTACCAAGTTGACAAGGGGTGGACTGTGATGGTTAAGATTATGTGTCAACATGTCTGGGTCATGATTCTCAGTATTTATATGTGATCACTGCCATGATTGAATATGCTGTGAGTAGCTAATCAGCCGAAGGGGAGTTTCCTTGGGGTGTAGCCTGCATCTGAATACAAGCAGATATTCTGGCTTTTTGCTCGTTCTGGATCCTGTGGCTGCCTCCTGTCTTCTCACCTTCGGTTCTTGGGACTTGAGCTAGCAGCTTACCTGTTGATCTTGGAATTCGTCAATCTTCACAGCCTTTGAGTGGGAGCCCTGCTCTCCAACCTGCCTATCTTGAGCTCACTAGCTTCTGTGGCTGTGTGAATCGGGAGAAACCTCTATTCTGATACACAGACTTGGGATGTTCTAGCCCCTACAATTGCGTGAGCTGTTTCCTTGATATAAATCTCTCTCTATATATATTTATCTGCTTTACTGGTTTTGCTTCTCTAGAGAACCCAGCCTAAGACAATAATTGTACCATTTTGCAGTGCATAAGAATTCTAATTTCCCCATAGCCTCTCCAACATTTGCTATTTTCTGTTTTTTTTATTTGTGCCAGCAATGTCTGGGTGAGATGGTATCTCATTGTGGTTTTGATTTGCATTTCTCTAATGGTTAATGATCGTGAGCTTTTCCTCATGTGTCTGTTAGCTGCTTGAATGTCTTCTTTGGTGATGTGTCTGTTCTTTTGTCCTTTTTTAAATTGGATTATTTGTCTTTTTGTTGTACAGGTGTTGGATTTTCCTGTAGATTTTATAGAGTAGGCCTTTTCCAGATTTGTCATAGCCAAAATTTTTTTCCCAGTGTGTAGGCTCTCTTTTTACTCTTTTGGTGAAGTCTTGTGATGAGCATAAGTGTTTAATTTTTAGAAGATCCCAGTTACCTAGCTTACCTTCTGGAGTTTGTGTGTTGTTGGTTATGGTTTGTTTCCTGTTAATGCAGTGTATTAGGACCTCTAGCACTGATACTATTTTTTCTTCTATGAGCTTTATAGTTTTGGGTATTATATTTAGATCTTTGCTCCATTTTGAATTAGTTTTGTATATGGTGTGAGGTATGGGTCCTGTGTCATTTTTTGCAGATGGACACCCAATTTTGCCAGCACCATTTGTTAAAAAGACTGTGTGTTCCCAATTTGATGGACTTTGGGCCCTTGTCGAAGATTAGGTGACCGTAGCTGGATGGATTTACAT